AAGAGCAAATACCCATCTAGCCTATAACTACTACATACAGTATAACACATATGTACAAGTTGACACACCCCCTAGGCTAGATAAGGGGGAGTGCATAGCAGGACACACGCAACTCAGGGTGGCACTACTAGTCCAACTTCTAAGGCAGGGGTCCGAAGACCAGTCAGCAAGAGTACTAACTCAACAAGAGTAACTCAGGGCGACGTTGTTAGTCCAGCCTCTGAAGGCCACAAGTAAATGTCGTAGACCTGACGCCGGAGGAACCACTGGGTCCTAGGAGGAAAAGAGTATGTAAAGCCTGACGGACGGTGCATGTAGATCTACTCGTGCAGGCCACCCTCAAGGAACGCAGTGGAGAAGTCAATTGAGTGGAGCTTGTGGTCGCGCTGTGCGGCTACGTGAAGCAGCGTACGAAGAGTAGTCATCTTCAGGGTAGGGACGAAGGTCAGGAAGAAGTCCACTCCCTCGCGCTAACTGAAGCCTCTAGCAACGTAGCGCGCCTTGAACATCGGCGGCTCTCCAGGCGGGCGCTTCACCTTGAAGAGCCACCGGCCATCGACTGCATTTGCCCCATGTGGGAGAACTGCGTCGACGTACAGTACTTGCCGGTGGATCTTCAAGATGCCATCTCTGCGTCCATGGCAGCTATCCACTGAGAGGCCCAGGGTCCCGTCATCTCAGCGTAGGTGCGAGGGGTCCGTATGTTAAGAGCGTCTGGGTCACCATCAGGGGCTAGCAGCATGAAGCAGAAATGAGAAGCGGCCTCCACGAGGAAAGTTAGCTCGTACTGTCTGCCCTTTAGGACGTCACTGCCAAGGGCAGATGCACCCCCGGTGGACAAAGGATGGGCAGGGTCAAAGACACGAGCAATGGAGCAATCAAGGCGGCTGGTAGAGGCAAAGGCAGTGATGGCAGCGACAAGAGCCAAGAGACTGGAGACAGGAACAGAATGGTCGGTAACGAGAGAGGCTAGGACAAAAGGAATGAGAGGGCGAGCAAGATGGAGGAGGTCAGAGAGAGGAGGAGAGGAGACAGCGAGGAACTACTGAGGAGGCGTCACGAGAACAGGAGCGGGAGGAGCACAAGACGGGAGGAGCACAAGGCGAAGGGCGGACAGTGGCCGCTACTGCTGCTGCTACGGCTCCGTTTCCACACCATGACCACCAGCCCCACCGCGGCTACCGCAGATACTCGCCGCGACAACACCTCTAGAACCAACACCCCCAGGACTAGCAACCCCAAAAACTAGCACCACTATGAGAACCAGCACCCCGAGCGCCAACACCCCCAGGGCCCACCGGCTCCTATTGCAGCGGCGGAGGCACCAGGGTCGGAAGTGAAGGCACCGCAGAAACAGATGGCGCACCTGGAGACCCGGGACCCCCAGAGTCAGCGCACTCCTCCGCCGGGCCAACCCAGGGAAGGGGAGTGAAGTGAGACACACTAGATGGTGCAGGACGGGGAGGGAGGGGAGCAGGAGCTACCGGGGAAGTGGCGACAAGGAACAGGGGCGGGGTAACAAGGAGACCTCGCTGGGAGAAGCGAGTGTAGAAGGAGACAGACTCATCAAAGGTGATGTCACACGAGTGGAGGAAACGATGAAACGGTGGGTTATAAAAGTACCTGTCAGAAGCTTCAAAGGGGAAACCAATGAAGGCGCGAGGGACAGTGCAAGCGGTGAGCTTGTCCGCGCGAGTGTCTCGGATATGAGCTAAGCAGCCCCAGACGTGAAACGCAGACGCGTCACCAGGGAATCCGGTCCAGAGGAGGGTCGGCAAAACCTATGGGCACAAAACGCGGGGTCACAGGTTAAGCTAGTGGGCGTCGTAGCGGTCAGCAAACGGCCACAGAAAATGGGGTGCACCGGCATGGATCATGGAGGTACGAGCCACCTCCATGACCAAACCGATGCGGCGCTCAGCGATCCCATTCTGTGGGGAGTCCAAGAGTGTGTACGACTGGGTGATGCCCTTCGCACGACAGAACTGGCCAAGCCGACCGGAGGCGAACTCGCCTCCACGGTCGGAGTGTAGACGAAGCACAGGCTGGGCGTGGTGGACTCGGACAGCTACAAGTCACGGGATAAGAACGCCAGGCATGTGAGCCTTCCTCTCCAGGGGGGAGCACCGTGGTGTAGCGCGAGAAGTCGTCCACGAGAACCAGGATGTAGGGCTCACGACACGGCCTACAGACCAGGGCTGGGCCCCAAACGTTTAAGTGTAGGGTCTGGAGTGGCGCAATGGTGGGGGGAAATGAGGAGTGAGGAGCAGCTCGCTGCTGCCCCTCGACGCAAAGCGTGCACGGAGGCGCAGATGAGGGAGGGAGGTCAGGGAGCGACAAAAGGAGACCTAAGACAACGACGTGCCGTGACATGTGACGGAGACGTGGGAGAGCGGGGTGACTTAGACGGTGGCGCCACAATAGCAACGGGTGAGTGAGCGACCGACACAAGCAAGCCGCAGCGACCTGGGGAGACGCAACCACCTGGGGGGACTCGGTGTGCAGCGTGAATAGGCCAGACATTGGGTCTCAAGGAAACGTGGTGAGGGGAGCACCAGTGGCAGCCTCTTTACAGACTGTGTACCGCTCATGTCCAGTAAACGTGGTGGTGACGCCAAGGTCGTGAAGACGGCCTACACCAACCAGGTTCCTGGAAAACGAGGGGATGTGTTGACCGGTAAGAGAGCCAGAGAGAGCCACCGGACAGGGAAGTGTGGTGGAGCTGCGTGCGATTACTGGACCGGAGGAGGGCAAGGGAGACTGCTACGGTGCAGGAAGCAGCGTGAGAGTGGTGTGGTCGCAAAAGAAGCAGGTGGACGCACCAGAGTCCAACATGAGGGAGAGCGCGGCGGTAGCGTCGGCCAGTGGGGGCGCAAGGGTGGAACCAAGGCTACACAAAACAGGAGGCCAACTGCCAGGGCCGCCTCCCCTGCCACCACCACCGAAGTCGCCTGGCCCCCACTGCTGCTGCTGCTGCCTTGGCTGCTGCTGATGCTCCCCTGGGGTGTCAGCCCCCACCTCTTCATCCGCACCCCCAGCACTCCCACCACCCCTCCCCCCCCCACGCCCCCCCTTGGGGCGACAGGGGCTTCTACCCTGACGAGGCTGTGCTGAGGCCGCTACAGTGATCGCATCAACAGTGGTTGTCTCAGCGACAGCAGCGGAAACGTCGGAGTAAGTGCTCTGGGAGGGGGCAAAACCCTGGAAGATAGGGAATGCCGCAGTACCGCAAGACTAAGCGATTGTGCGCTGGCGGGTCTCTATCGCTGACAGGGTGGCGACAAAGTCGTCAAGTGTGAGGTCAGCGGGGTGGTGACTAAGGAAGGTGCCAGGGGCGCTGGCTAGGCGGGCAGAGAGGCGCGTGGCTAGGAAATGAAGGGTGGCATCGAGGGGAGGGGGGAGTACAGTGACCTTAGCCTCAGTGCTAGCAGTGCGATAGCTAGACTCAAGAGCGCACAAATGGTTGGCCAGATTAGCGACAGTGGGGAAGGAAGCCATGTCAGGGAAGAGCAAGGGCAGGAGGAGACGGCCAACAGAGGCGGAGGAGGGAGTGGAATAGCGAGCGATAACAACGTCTAGATACTCATTCGCAATGTCTATGGCCTGAAAGTGGGGACACTTGGACAGCGGGAAGGCGTGACTGATAACTAGCTGCGCAGTGGCGTCATGCGACTCCCAAACAGAGCGAGCGAGCTCAGCTGCTGCGAAAGCCTTACGCGTAGCAGGCGCGGCATCAATAGCGAGGGCAACAGGCACGGGAGGGCAAGGCAACTTACTGTCGACGTGGACGGCCAGAGATTGGCCGTCCTGGCGCTGACCCTTCGGCTGGCGGCGCACGTCAGCGAGCCACGCCTCGAAATCCACAGCACGACCCTCTGCGTCCAGGTGGAGGACGGCGTCCGCCATGGCGCATGTGTCAGCACGGGCGGCTGCGTCTCACCAGTAGCGGCAACACGACAGCACAGCTGCGGCAGCTGAAGGACTCAAGAGGAGGAGGAGTTGGGAGCAAGCGGGTGTAGTGGGGTGCGGTGGAGAGCGGTGGAGGGTGGTGGAGTGCAGTGGAGCGCGGGAGCGCGCATGGCTGGCGAGGAGCAGGGGCCGACGCGGCGGCGAGCAGGGGCCGGCGCGACGAGCAGGGGTCGTCGTTTTGGGGCTGGCGCTGCGAGCAGCCGGTGTCGAGCCAAGGCCGGCGGTGAGCACGGGCCAGCACGGCGAGCATGGGCCGACGACGAGCTGGGGCCGGCGGCGAGCTGGGGCCGGCGCGGCGAACAGGGGCCGGCGTCGAGCCGGGGCCGGCAGTGAGCAGGTGTTGGTGTGGCGAGCTGGGGCCGACGTGACGAGCAGGGGCTGGCGGCGAACTGGGGCTGGCGTGACGAGCAGGGGCTGGCGGCGAGCTGGGGCCAGCACGGTGAGCATGGGCCGGCGTGGCGATGAGCTAGGGCCCGGCGCGTCGGCGAGCAGGGGCCTAATGCTCGGCGAGCTGGGGCCTGGCGAGCTAGGGCTAGGCGCTCTAAGAGCAGTGCGAAGCGGAGCCAAGCTAGGCGACGAGCTAGGCGAGGCGACGAGCTTGGCTAGGGTAGGCTAGGGTGGAAGCGTGGGTGGGTGGGACCTACCTAGCGTGATACGATGCTAGGATAGCGAAGTGAACTCTAGGAAGGCATACATGTGGAATGTCCCATTTGGTATTGTACTCTCTTTAAGAGCACTTACCCATCTAGCCTATAATTGCTACATATAACACATATGTAAGTTGACACAGATGACTACACAGTGTAATTATATGTTAGAACAACTCTGTTCCCTAGGTGTTCTAATGTTGAGGAACACTCATTGGGGTTACACTATGGTCTTGTAAACAGGAACCTTCCCTTTTTCCCCCATCGCTAGCTCTACTGTTAGTATTTCTCTTTACGGACTAAGCTGTGGAATGGAGCACCGCCGCTGTTGCGATTTCTCAGCAATGCAACCTGCCACCTCAAGACAATGCCACACCTAAGGTGGAGAAAACCCTGGATTATGAAAAAGAAACAAATTAATGTTCTAAATCCACAAACAAATGTTCTAACCCTAGAAAACAATTTAACCAGAAGAAGCAAGAGAAAGGAGAGAGAGGCCTGTCCAGTCCAGAACCTGAGAGGGAACGCCCAACAAACAATGCAAGGGGACACGGGTAGAGACGCGGGGAGGCATCGCAGCAGGAGCAGCCAGCAAGCGCACAGTAGCCATCATAAAGCACTAGCAAAACAACAGGAGAGTCGTCCAAAGCTCTTCCTTGTGCATCTGAACGCATGCTGTGCAGTGCAGTGAGAGTCGCCCACAGTCCCCAACCAACCTCCCATATCCAATCCACCTATCTTCCTCCCATCTTCCCTCCATGCTGCTGCCATGAAGCCACCTGATATCTTCTTCTCCCTCTCCTCCACATCTTGCCCCCTATCCACTCAGCCTCGCATCTTTCTCCTTTCGCCACAATTTTGGATTTGTTCTATCCACTCCCCAATTTAGAAACGTCCCCCTCCCCTCCCCTCCCCCTCCCCTCCCCACCCCCCCCCCCCCCCCCCCCCCTCTTTCTACTTGTTCCCCCCAGCCTGCCTGGACCTGATTCTGCTGCTCTGCCTGACCGTAGCCAGCCTGATCGCCTCCTCTCTGTCCCGCGCCTCCTGCTCCTTCAGCGCCCTCAACCTCTCCCTCTCCGCCTCCTTCCCCCTCCTCTCCCTCTCCTCCCTCTCCTTCCTCACTTCCTCGTCCTCCTCCACCTCCTCCCCTTCCATCCCCCCATTCTCAGCCACTCCTCCTTCCCCTCCCACTCCCCCTGCTCCTTCTCCTCCCCCCGTCGCTCCGTCAGTTGCTGCTGAGACTATACCAGTCTTACCGCCACCAGACTTACCTCCCCCACCCACGCCCCCACTAGTGCCTTTCCTCCCTTTCTTCCCCCCAGTGCTTTTGCCCCTAGCTGCCCTTGCTCTGCTGCGGACTTTTGCTGCCCCCCTTGCTCCCACAGACGCTTGGGACAGCTCTGATTCGTCTGCTGTTCCTTCACCTGCCCGTTCATCTGCCCCTTCGCCTGCCTCTGAAACCTCCTGCGAGGGTCCTTCGGTGGGTTCTTGAGAAGCCTCTTGGGAGGTTCCATTGCCCTGAGCCACATTCTCTACTGTCACACGCCCTTCACTCGCACCCATCTGTTCCTCGCCTTCCCCCTCCAAGCCTCCTCCCATTTTCTCTTCCTCTTTACCCCACTCAATCCCCTCATCCCTCTCTTCTCCCTCCCCTCCTCTTCCGTGCTGCACCACCTCCACCACATCCTCCTCCTCTTCCATTTCCCTTCTCTCTCCCTCACCAACCTCCCCTTCCCCTGCTGCCTTATCCTCCACCGCCGTTTCGTCCTTCCTCTCTCGCTTGCTCTCCCCCTCCCTCCCTCCCCCCTTGAACTTCCCCTCTTCTCTTTCCTCCTCGTTGTGACTCTCCCCTCCAATGCCCTGCTCTGCCGTAGTCTCCTTCCTGCCCTCCCCATTCTCCCCACTGCCTCCCTCTCCTCCCAGTTCCCCCTTCTCCCCACCTCCTCCCTTCCCCTCTCTTCCACCCCCTCCACCAGCCGTCTTACCACCACCCACCTTCATAGCACCAGCACCAGCCGCTGCTGCCTTGCGCTTCCGCGAAGGTGCCACACTTGCCACCTGTAATTGCGCTTCCCCCGGAGCATCAGCTGCAGCATCAGCATCCCCACATGCCTGCTTAGTAGCCTTCATCGCAGCATCAGCTGTCTTCTCAGTATCGCCCGTAGCCGCAGCAGGCACGTTTTTACGCCCAGAAACATCCTCGGCAGCATCAGGCACGCTGAGAGGCGCGTTCTGAGGCGCCTCAGCATTCCCAGGCAGAGCTGATGTAGAGCCTGGGATAGAGGGAGCATCACGGCCCATAGCCGCAGCAGCAGCAGCAGCAGCAGAAACATCAGCAGCAGCAGCAGCAGCAGCAGCAGCAGCAGAAACATCATCATCATCAGCAGCAGCAGCAGCAGCAGCAGCAGCAGCAGCAGCAGCAGCAGAGGTAGCAGAGGCATCCGCAACAGAAGCAGCAGCAGCAGCAGACGCAGTAGTAACGTGCCTCATGGCTTTGGTAGCAGCAGTCTTTGTTGCGGCGGCTTTAGTGGCAGCGGATTTAGTAACAGCCGGCTTAGTTGCAGCGGCCTTAGTTGCAACAGCCTTAGAGGCAGCGGCTTTAGTAGCAGCAGTCTTAGAGGGTGCAGCAGTGGTGCTGCCAGCAGCAACAGAAGCGACATGCTTGGTGGCTTTGGCAGGAAATAGGGATGGAGCAAACAGCAGAGCAAGGCCTGTCTGCTGCTCCTCCTCCTCCTCCTCCTCCTCCTCCTCCTGCTGCTCCTGCTGCTGCTGCTCTGGTTGCTCCTCTTGTTCCTCCTGCTGCTGCTGCTGCTCCTCTTCTGCCCGCTCTTCCTTCTGCTGCTGCAGTCGACGCTGCTGCTGCTGCTGCTGCTGCTGCTGCTGCTGCTTCGTGCTAGCAGTAACTCTACCCCGTGGCCGTCTAGGTGCCTTTCGAGCCGACTCAAGAGTCAACTCAACACTCCGCTGCTGCTGCGTCTTGAGCTGCTTTCTGCCTCGTGCTCTACCTCTAGCACCAACAGCGCTACCATTCCCCCCAGCAGCAGGACTATCACCAGAATCAGCAGCAGCAGAACCAGCGCCAGAAGGAACAGCAGCAGGAGCAGCTGCACCAGCAGCAGCAGCATCCTCAGGGGAAGGAGAAGCAGCAGGAGCAGGAGAAGCAGCAGCAGCAGCAGCAGCAGCAGCAGCAGAAGAAGCCTTTGAACAGGAAGGGGCAGCAGAGGCTGTCATTCTCGGCAGCCGAATCACCAACCCTTTCCTGACCCCTCCTGTGCTCCCTGCTTCTCCCCCTTCACTCCCTAATCCCTCTCCTCCCATACCTCCTCCTTCACCCCTTCCTCCATCTCCCACATCCCCCTTCCCTGCGGCACCCAAACTACTTCCTCCTCCTCCTCCTCCTCCTCCTCCTCCTCCTCCTCCCACTCTATTGTCCCTTTCCTCCGCACATGCCTCTCCTTTCCCCACTCCTACACCCACGGCTTCTCCTCCTCCACCCCCTTGCCCTAGATCCCTCGCATCTTCTTGCCCAACTCCCTCCCCCACCAACTGATCACTCACCCCTCCTCTTCCCCCAACTGTCGTCACTTCCCTCCCCACTCTCACCGCTCCTCTCTTCACCTTCCCGAGCTTTGCATTCCGACCCTGGAATCCCTTACCCTTGGCCTTCCGAGCCTGTTGCTTAGGCTTGGACGCCTTCCGAGCCTGCGGTGGTGGTATGATGTGCTGCTGCCAGGCTGGCACTTTGCTAAGTCCCTCAGCAGATACTTTGTTAAACTCCACAATGGGTGGGGAAGCGAGATATGGAGGAAGTGGCATATTTGCCGGAGCTTGGCTAGTGAGGGAAAAATGGGCAGTAAGGGAGAAGCTTGTATGGGGGACGGATGATGGCTTGGTAGGGATGTGGCAAGAGGAGGAGAAGAGGAGAGACGGGGGGAGGGAGGAGAAGAGTGAGGAGGAGGGACGGCAGGATGAGGAAGCAGCATTGAGGTATGGATGAGGAGGAGGAAGGGATGGATGAGTGGCTGGTATGTCATCAAGAGTAGTTAGACAGGCCTGAAGGTGTTGGGAAGGGAGTTGGGAGGGGGTGGGGGGTGGCGGGTGGGGAGGGGAAGGGGGATGCAAGAAGGGAGAAGGGGCGAGAAAAGCTGAGGAGGAGGGAAGGAGAGAAGCAGGATGGCAGGAGATGAGAGAAACACTGGTGGGGAGCGGAAAAGGTTGGCGAGCCGGATTCAAACTGCCGGCCTCCGCTGAACAACTTGAATAATTGAGGAGCTAGAAGAATTTTAAAAAACTTGAAAAACTTTGGAAAATTCAAAGATTTGAGGAATTTTAGCTGTTAGAAACTTGCAGGCTGGAAGGCCCACTACCCAAGGGCAGCTTAAACAGCGGTCCGTGAGAAGAGGAGGGAAATTCTTCATGAGCAGCCCGGACTTCCAGCCCAGACTTTCAGGCTGGGATTTCAGGCTGGGATTTCAGGCTGGGATTTCAGGCTGGGATTTCAGGATGGACTTTCAGGCTGGAAGCCCCACTAGCCACGGGCAGCTCGAACAGCGGACGGTGAGAAAAGAAGGAAAATTCTTTACAAGCTGCCTCGACTTCCAGGCTGGACATTCAGACTGGGATTCTGGGCTGGACGCCCCACTCGCCAGGGAGTGGACACAAGAATCCGCCTCATCATTCCTCAGAACGAGAGAGAGAGAGAGAGAGAGAGAGAGAGAGAGAGAGAGAGAGAGAGAGAGAGAGAGAGAGAGAGAGAGAGAGAGAGAGAGAGAGAGGGGTGAAAAACTGGACTTGAACAGGCCTGCCTGACTGTTGGAGAGGGAGGAAACCCGCTCCTGGCTCCGAACATCCTCTCCTGACCCGCCTTGACAGTAGCCACCTGAACTGCCCGCACAGTACTCACCTGTGCCCTCACATTACTCACCTGTGCCCTCACAGCAGTCACCTGTGCCCTCGCAGTACTCACCTGTGCCCTCACAGTAGTCACCTGTGCCCTCACAGTACTCACCTGTGCCTCACCTGTGCCCTCACAGTACTCACAAGTGCCCTCACAGTACTCACATGTGCCCTCACAGTACTCACATGTGCCCTCACAGTACTCACATGTGCCCTCACAGTACTCACATGTGCCCTCACAGTCAGGTCGGGTACTGTGGCCGGGTAATGCATACCTGGTACCCGAGAATTACCCAAGAGGTCGGGTAATTCGTTACCCGTCGGGTCACAGGTACCCGACCCGATTCCGGGTCGCGCAATTACCACACCAAAACCAGCGCGACATTTTCCACGCTGGTTGGGAAATTTCGACCATAAGGTCCAAATTTCCAGCCTTTTTAAATTTATTTATTTCTCTTTTTTTCTTTCCCACAGTTGCGATCTACCTAAGCCTACCCTCAGATACAACTAGGAGCATTCCGCAGCTGGCCTGCTACAAACCGCACCAAGTTTTAAGGAAAGATCGAGGAAGGGAGTGGGCAAAGGGCCACTTTGTGGGATTTTTAGCTGCCACGCCCTAAGACTTGCATGATTCCCCTAAAAACCAAAACTGCAGTGACAGGACTTCGAGACACATTCTCAGCAGATTCTACCAACGAGTAGCATTTAATGGCGCCTTAACAGGCATCTAGGGGTACCCGGGCAATAATACCCAACTGCAATTACCCGACACGCCACACGGGTACCCAATTACCCCGGTATTAAAAAGCCGGGTCGGGTAATAGACCTCCAGAGATTACCTGGAAATTACCCGACCCGACCCAACCCGAACCCGATCGCGGGTAGGGCAAAACCGGGTCAAGTCGGGTAATTACCCGGTTTTGCTCATGTCTAAACCCACCTGAACTGCCTTGCCAGCCAGACTGCCTCAACAACAGGCAGACCGCCTCTGTGTCTAGAGTCAACTCAAACACACCACTGCACACAGCACCCACCTGAACCGCCTTGCCAGTACCCACCTGAACTGCTTTGACAGTGTTTGCATTGACAACAGGCAGCAGCGCCTCTGCCACTCCCCTTGCTGTCCACCCCTCTTCCGCTGCTCCAGCCCCCCCCGTTGCGACCACCGATGGCACAGCAGGCAGTGCAGCGGGTGACAGTGTGGCGGCAGAGGGTATGGCATGCGATGGCGCAGCATGCGATGGCGCAGCATGCGATGGTGCAGCATCACCAGCAGCATCACCAGCAGCAGACGGCCCAGGAACAAGGGCAGCTCCTGCGCTCGCTGCACCTGCCCCTGCTCCTGTCCCTGCTCCTGCCCCTGCCCCTGCTCCTGCCCCTACTCCTGCACCCATGTCTCGCACCCGTAGCACCTCCGTCCCTACCTTCGCCCCTGCAACCCCCCCTCCTGCCGTCCCTGCTGCTTCTCCAACCCCAGCTGTCCCCGCTGCCAAACCCTCTCCTCCCTTCCCTGCAGCCGCTGCTTGCAAACACTTAGCTAAGAGTTCCCCCTGCACTAAGCCAGCAGCAAGCGGAAGAGCAGCAAAAAGCCTCGACACCGCTCTTACCTCCACCTTCCTCCCTGTCTCCCTGCCCTGCTCTGGTTGGACCTCCCCTTCTTTCCCTTCCAATCCTCCCTCCTCCTCTTTCCCTCCACCTCCCCTCCCCACTCCACCACCCTCCCCCATTCTCCCAACCCCAGGCCCCACCTTCCTATCCCTCTCCCATTCCCCCTCCCGCCTACCACCCACAACCATGCCACCTGAAATTGCCCCCCCACCACTACCACCAATGCTGCCTCTCCTGCCGTCTCCCCGCAAAAACTCCCCCCTGCCCCTCCCCTCCCCATGCCTCTCCCCCGACCCTACTCTATGGACATCCCTAGGCCCCCCAAACTGTCCCATTCCTCCCAGGTCTCTAGGCCCCCTACCTCCCCCAGGCATACCTCCCCCTCCTCCTGGACCCATCAGGTTCGGCCCGAACCCAGGGCCGCCGGGTCCTCTTGGCCCCGGGCCTCCCATTCCTCCCGGACCTCCCATCCACCCAGGACCTCCCATTCCCCCCGGACCTCCCAGGAACGGTGGTCCCGAGCCTGGCATGCCATCCCACATGCCCCCATGAGGGAAGATTGGTCCGCGTCCTCCCATACCTCCACCCGGGCCTCTACCGCCAGGTCCGGGCATGCCTGGGTGTGCGCCGAACCTACCGCCCATGCCTGGTCCAGGCATGGGGTGGTGTGGCAGCACACCCGGCCCAGCAACAGAAACACCTGAAGGAACACCTGGGCCAGGGCCTGGACCTGGGCCGGCACCTGGAGCACCTGGGAGGAGGCCAGGAGAGAGAGGGCCCAGGGGGGGTGTGCCCAGGTGCCCCCCAGGTGAATTCGCAGGGTGGGACCAGCGATTCCTGCCCTGGTTCGAGGGTGGCTGCTGCGGATGTGGCGTTTGGGGTGGCTGATGTGGCAGCTGCTTGTGAGGGACAGCGAGTGGTGGGAGGGACGCGGGAGAGCGGGATGGTTGCTCCGGTAGTTGCGGTTGCTGCTGCTGCTGTCCCTGCTGCTGCTGCTGCTGCTGCTGCTGCTCTTTCTGTCTTTGCTCCGAGTCAACACTCTGTCTTTCCTCCTCCTGCTCCTTCTCCTCCTGTCCCTCCCTCTCCTCCCCACCCTCCTCCTTCACCTGCTTATCCGTCCCATTCACCCCCTCACCCCCCTTCACCCCCTCACCCCCCTTCACCCCCTCATGGCCCTTATCCAATCCTGAAGTCCCCTCCCCGTCCTCCTGCTTCACCCCCTCGTGTCCATGCGGCCCCTCCTCCTTCTCATCTGCCTCCTTCTCCTCTCTCTTCTGCTGCTGCTGCTGCTGCTGCTGCTGCTGCGGCTGCTGATGGTGGAGGGGCATATTTCCCCCCATTCCACCCATCGCCCCAATCCCTGCGCCCCCAACCATCCCCATTCCTCCCCCCATGTGCATGCCCATGCCCATATGCATGCCCATACCCATCCCCATGCCCATACCCATGCCCATACCCATGCCCATGCCCATGCCCAATCCCCCCATGCCCATGCCCATTCCCCCCATCCCAAACGGCATCCCCGGTCCCCCCCCTAACCTGCCCATGCCTTCTGCGCCCATTGCCCCCATGCCTCTCCCCCTCCCTGCCCCATCCCACGGGCCCCCGCCTGCCCCTACCATGCCTCCACCAGGGGAAAACCCCCCTGAAATACCCCCTCCACCTCGTCCTGCTCCCCCTTGCCCCCCTGCTGTGGACCCAGGCCCCCCACCCCCTGCTCCCCCTGCTCCCCCTGCTCCCCCTGCTCCCCCTGCTCCCCCTGCTCCCCCCCCTGCTGCCCCTGCTTCCCCTCGCCCCGCTGTTCCACCTGAACCAGTTTCCCCCTTCCCTGCTTCCCCCCCTTTCCCTCCCCCTCCTCCACCAACCCCCCTCCTTCTCCCCCCGTTGCCCCCCCATCCCCAGCCCCACCAGTTTCCCCAGCCGCCGTCCCCCCAGGCCCCCCGCCCCCTGCGCCTCCCATGCCCCCTCCCCCTCTCCCCTGCGCCAAGCCTGCATCCCAGCTGATAACCCCCTCCCCTCCCCCGCCCTCCATCTCCCCCCATCTCCCCCCACCCCTGCCCCTCCCTTTCCCTCCCCCTGCTGCTGCTCCATCCGCCATCCCCTTCCCCATTGCTCCCCCCGCCCCTCCCCCCGCCCCTGGCTTAAACCCAGGCCCAGGCCCCCCCCGCCCAAACCCTAATTCGCGCATTTGCGGACCTGCACCGGGGGAACCCATTCCCCCCGCGCCCCTGGGACCCCCAGCGCCCAGGTGCGGGGGAAAGGGCGCGCCCATCATCCCCCCACCCCCGGGGAAGGGCGGAACCCCCACCCCTGAACCCAACCCCCCAGGAAAGGGCATTCCTGCACCTGGAAAACCATGAAACGGGGGGAACGCACCTGGGGGAGGCATACCCGGGGTAGGCTGACCTCCTGGCCCCACCAACCCTTGCCCTCCCGCTCCTCCTGCCCCTGCTCCTGCCCCTCCTCCTGCTCCGCCCATTCCCCCTCCCCCACCCGCCCCTGCCCCCCCTCCTGCGCCAGGTTGCCCCCTGGGGCCCCCCATTCCCCCCCATCCGGGCAAGAACCCCTGTGGCCCTCCCCCTCCGCCCCTCCATGCCTCCCCAGGGCGTAGCATCCCGCTCCCCCCTCCTTCCCCCCTCCCCATGGCTCTCGGTCCGCCCATTCCCCTCCTACCCCCTCCCCCTGGCCCCATCCCCCCTGGCCCAATCATCCCCCCTGCTGCTGCTGCCACTGCCGCCGCCGCTGCAGCTGCGGCGTTGCCGGACCTGCCAGCTTCGGCAATCAGGCCTTCCATACCTGCAGGTAGGTTCAGGGGAGCGGGGAGAACCGAAGGCGCATCTATCCCAGGGCGGAGGGGAGGGGGAGGGGGGAGGGAAGGGGCGGAGGACCCATCCCCTCCTCCGCCTCCCCCTTCCCGCCCTCGTCTCGACCCAGGGCCCATATCAGCCCGCGCTTGCCATCCCCCTCCCCCTCCCGCTCCTCCTCCTGCTCCCCCTCCTACTGCTCCCCCTCCCACTGGCCCCCCTGCTCCTGCTGCTGCTCCTGCTGCTGCTCCTGCTGCTGCTCCTGCTCCCCCTCCTCTCCTCCCCTCACCCACCCCTCTCTCTCCGTCTGCCTCCCCCTTATCCGCCTCCACAAAACTCTCCCTCTCCCTCTCCCTCTCCCTCTCCCTCTCCCTCTCCCTCTCCCTCCTTGCCCCCTCCACCACCGCCCCTTCCCCTGCCACACTTGACCCCATTACAGAATCCTCTCGCTTAGCCCGTCCCATCCCCTCAGGACCAAACTCATCTTGATACGAGCCTCCCCTCTCTCTCACCCTCTCCCGGTCTCTGTCTCTGTCCCTCTCTCCTCTGTCCCTCTCTCCTCTATCCCGCTCCCTCCTCTCCCATTCCCTCCTGCCCCACTCACCCTCTCTTTCCCTCTCCCACTCTCGTTCTCGGTCCCAATCCCGCTCTCTTTCCCACTCTCTCTCCCTCTCTCTATCCCATTCCCTCTCCTTCTCTCTGTCCCTCTCCCCATCCCTTCGTGCCCGCACTTCACTACCAGACCACCAACGTGACTCCCTTTCCCCTCTCTCCCCCCTTCCTCCCCTTTCCCCCCGCTCTCCCCTCTCCCCCCTCCCCCCCCTCTCCATCCTCTCCCCTCTCCCCCCCCTCTCCGACCCCTCGGCCCTCTCCCCTCTCTCTGCCTTCTCTCCCCTCTCTCCTCTCTCTCCCCTCTCGCCTCTCTCCACCTTTCTCCCCCCACCAAAGCTCCGCCCACTTTCCTGCCGCTCAACCCTCCTCCCCCCCCTCCCCCCATGCCCAAACCCTCCTTCCTCCCTCTGCAACCCCCTTCCCTCTTCTTCCAACTCTTCCTCCGACCCCTCCCCCTCCCCACCTCCATCATTATACGCGCCTCTCTTTGATCCCTCCCCCCCATCCTCCCCATCCCCCCCTCTCTTCCTCCTCCGCCTCCTCCTCCTTAACAAATCTTCTGCCTCCTCCTTGCCCCATCTGCCTGCACCCTCCCTCCCATCTCCTCCCAAATCCTCCTCATCCTCTTCGCCCTCCTGCCCCCCACCTTCCTCCCTTCTCCCTCTCCCCTCCCTCTCTCTCCTGCGGCCCTTTAAAACAGCCGCTGCCTCCTTAACCCCTTCTCTGATCCCTTCTCTCAATCTTCCTGTCTCACTCTTTGGCTGCTGCTGCTGCTGCTGCTGCTGCTGTTGCTGCTGCTGCTGCTGCTGCTGCTGTTGCTGCTGCAGCAGCAGCCAGGCATCCGCTTGCCCCTCATCCACCCTCCCACCCTCCCTTTGCATTCCACCAGCTCTTTCCCCCTTTCCTCCCTCCTCGCCTCGTCCTCCCTTCTCCATCCCTGGCCCTTTCTTTTCGTCCGCTGCAACCCCCTCGAGCCTATCAACACTAGCACCAACACTAGCACCAACACTAGCACCAACACCAGCACCAGCATCAGCATCAACACCAGCAGGCAGCGGTGCCTGCTGCCCCCCAATCACATCGCTCTCTTGTTTTCTCTTCTTCCGCTCCCTCTCTGCTGCCTCTGCTATGACCATACCACCACCAGCCGCACCAACAGCAGTGGCAGCGGTGCCAGCAACAGGAGCAGTAGTAGCATCAGCGTGGGCTACAGAGATATTAGCAGGAGCGGCCGCAGCAGCTGGAACAGCGACTTTAGCAAAAGTGGTCGCAGCAGCAGCAGCAGCAGCAGAATCAGACGCAGCCACAGCAAGACGAGCAGCAACACTGCCATCACCATCACCACCACCATCTGTAGCTGCGGCACCCGGAGCCCCAGCCTGCCTCTGCTTCGAGTAACTCTGAGACAAAATCGCCAGACCCTCACCCAGAGCACCCCTCTCCTCGTCCACTCCCCCCTCTTCCTCTTCCTCCTCCTCCTCCTCTTCCTCCTCCTCTTCCTCTTCCTCCTCCTCCTCTTTCACCGTCCTCCCCTTACCCTGCTTCCGTCCAGCACGGCCTTTCTCCTGCGGGCTCTCCTCAAATCTCCTCCTGCCGGAACCAAGCCTAGCTTGGGCCGCTGGAGCATTATTCCCAGCTCCACCTGTGAAAGTTCTCCCCATCCCGCCTTGCCCCACTTTTATCTTGATCCCCCTTCCTCCCAACCCCACCTGCAGCCCCAGTTCGGAATCCTCCGGGCAATTGCTAGGGACGCCTGTACTCTCTTTAAGCTTCTCCGTCTCCCCTTTTTGTGCGGATTCGTTCTCATCATCCACACCTCTCTTCGCCCCATGCTCCCTGTCCTTCCGCTCCCTCCTCCCCTCTCTACCCTCTCTCCCCTCTCTACCCTCTCTCCCCTCTCTCCCCCTCACCCTCCCCTTACCTACATCCTTCTCCTCCTCCCACTCCCTCTCCTCCCGACTCCTCACCCTCCCAGTCCTCTCCTTGCCTCTCCTCCCCTCCTCCTCACCATCCTCCCCCTCACCCTCTCTGTTCCGATCCCTGCTCTGCTTCCTTCCTGCCCACGGCCCACCCTCGTCGTGCTTCCCCTTCCGCTCCCCCTTCACCTCCCCCTTCACCTCCCCCTTCACCTCCCCCTTCACCTCCCCCTTCACCTCCCCCTTCACCTCCGCCTTCTCCTCCGCCTTCTCCCCCGCCTTCTGCCCCTGCGCCACCCGTCCCTTGGCGCTGTTGGCCCGGCCAAGGTCCCCTTTTCGCATGCCTGCCTTTCCAACGCCTTGCGCCTCGCGCTCTGGAGGGTGAGGAGGGAGAGGAGGAGGGGAGGGTGAGAGAAGGCGAGAGCGGGAGGGAGAGTAGAGTGGGAGGGGAGAGCGAGAACCGAGGAAGAGGAGACGAATAAGAGAGTGAAAAAAGGCACGGCAAAGGGGACGATGTGGCGAAGCATTCTCTTCTTCTTTTGCAAATCGTGAGGAGTCTATTTTTGAGGCGCCTCAAATCAGACCAAAAGCCAAGACTACCTGATGAGGAGGAAAGCTCCGGTGATTCTGCCCGCCTTCCTGGTCGTTTCCGATGCCTCCATTCCCTCCGCCCGCCCTCCCCGCCATAATCACCACGCTTATAATCACCCTGCCAGTCCCCTTCTGCCTCCCGGCCTCTCCTCTCCTTCCCTCTCCCCCCCTCCTCCCGAGCCTTCTCCCTCTCTCTGTCACCGTCTCTGTTCCGATCCCTGTCCCTTCCTCTCTCCCTATCTCTCTCCCCTCCCCTCCTCTCTCTCTCCCTGTTCTTTCCTTTCTCCCGACTTCGACGCACTGCTGACCCATCCTCAACCTCTTCCTCCTCCTCCTCTTCCTCCTCCTCCTCTTCCTTCTCCTCCCTTTCTTCCACCACCTCTTCCCCCCTCCTCACCGCATCCAACTCCTCATCACCCGCCTCATCCCCCCCTCGGCCACCCTGCCTTGCCCTTCCCACCCTGCCCATCCTATCCACTCCATGCCGCCGCTCTTTAACATTCACAAGGCTATTAACGGGATCACTACCTCCGCCACCTCCTCTCGGCTCCTCATCCTCCTGATCCCCCCGTCTCTCCTTCCCGCCTCTCTCCTCGTGCTCCCTCCTGCCTTCCCTCCCCGTCTTGCTGTCCACCTCTTTCCTCTCCTCTCGCCGTAACGGCCCCATCTTCTCCGGCTTGTCCTCATACGTTCCTATTAAAGCCTCCGTAGTTAACACCCCGCCTTCCCCGAACCGCTCTAGGTCTTCTGCCGCCTCGAGATCCTCGAACAGCGGGCTCCGAGGCGCCTCGAACGCGACCTCGATCGCATCGATGTCCACGAAACGCGCGTTCCAGTGCGCGTCGTCGTCGCCGTCGTCGCCAGCGTCGCCAGCCTGCCCCGCGACAGGCCGTGCGACACCCTGCGACGTCTTCTGCGACGCTTTCTGCGACGCCTTTGCTGCGGGATCCGCCTGAAACGACAGCTCGCGGCGACCGTCACCAGCCCCCTTCCCTTTCAACCGCCCAAACCCTCTATCAGGACTCTTCCGACGGCTTCTATCGGGGATATCACTTCTATCAGAAAACTCCTTCCTATCAGCAACATCATAACTCCTATCCGGACTCCCGGTTACCCTATCGGCTCCCCTCTCCCCTTTTTCCACTCGGTGCTTCCTCCGGCGCTTACCCTCCCTCTCGTCGTCCCGGCTTCTCTCGCCGTCGATCTGTCGCTGCCGATCTAGCCCCTCTCTCTCGTCCTCGTCCTCGTCCCTGCCATGCGCGCGTTTCGCGGATCCCGAGGATCTATTCGCGCGCGCAAGTCCGCTCGGGCTCTCCCGTCTTGCATGCCGTGACTTGCGCTCGCTTTTACCACCCGTTATCGGTGCCTCGATAGTATCACCGTTATCTCCCCAATTGCGGTCACCGTCAACGGAAGGTCGGTCATTTCGGTAAGAGAACGAGGCGGGTCCGTTGCCGCCTACTGGCGTTGCAAGGGAAGCTGTAGCAGGTGTAGCGGCTGTAGCAGCAGCGGCTGTAGCGGCGGCAGCAGGGACGGTTGCAGCGGCTTCCGCCACGTCATTGTCGCGAGACGCTTCGTAATCTGACGCGGAGCCTGGCGATTCGTAGTCATCCGAATCGTTGTGCCGGCGGCGCACGTGCCTGGATCGGTCCTTATGCCGGTCGTGGTGGTGGTGGCGGTGGTGGTGGCGGTGACGGTGGTGCGAACTATGGTGCGAATCGGCGGGGGCTTGCCGACTACGGCCGTGCTGCTCCTTCCCCTCCTCGCTCTTCCGCCACCGCCGTCTCTCCGCTGCCCCGCCTTCGTCGCTTCCTCCGCCGTCGCTAACGTCCGGATCGCTCGCCTCGTCGGCCTTCTCCCAACGGCTCGGACGGCGCATCTCACAGCACGTCTCACGGTGCTCGCGGCGAAAACTTACGCGAACTAGAGTCCGAGTCTAAACAAGGGCAATCACTCCATATACTGCCATTGAAAACTGCCGAATGTCTCAAGATCCCAGGGAGGGGATAGTCGTTCGGTGATGAAAGTAAGAGGGGCGGAAACCCTAAAGCAGAGATACTGGGAGTGAGCTTGATGGGAGGTATGGTTTGGTTTGGCATGAGGGTATTGTTGCGGTCTTGCAGATTGACACAAAATGACAGCGTAGGGAGTGTAGCTTGACGAGTGTATTTGTAATATAATTAACAGTAATAGCAGTAACGAAGTTACTACTGTTGTTGCCTAAAACTTGTTGCCTTTCAATGGCTTGCAAAGAAGCAAGCGGCGGTGCTTATAGAGGGTCTGATCCTGGTTTCACGTCCACAAAGTCGGAGGAACCCCATGTTTGTGTGGTACACCTAGCCGAATTTTTGTTTCCACACTGACCATTTCTGAGTGCGCAGACAGTTTCCCTTGTTCCTACGGCCTAAGCGCGGCAGACTCCACGTGGGCAAAAACTTTGAGCACTGTCTAAGCTGACGTCGGGTTTCCTGACTAGAGAAACACTAAATCGAGCAGTAAATATTTCGTATTTAAATCCATGTAGAATTTCTTTTTCAAGGGTATCCGCATCTGGTCTTCAGGAGCTGCTTTCGGGGGGTGAATACCCTCTCGGCGGCACCCCTTGTGAAAATACTGGGTGTGAAATTAGCGCAAGCTAAGCCAAAAGCGAGGCTCAGAAGTGGAATCGGTTCATGAACCCAGCTGATTTTATGGTGGTGGTGAGCTGTTCCCGATAACGCTTAGAAAATACTGTACATTACGGCGAAACCCTGTCCACCCAGCCCATGTCCTCTCCTACCTCCCCCCTGTCTCCGCAAAGATTGTTCTGGTTCACCCAGCAGCACCACTGTCGAAAACGCGCCACCAGGCGCATCCGCCTCCCAGCCAATCAGGAAAGGCAACCGGCAACATCCAGTTGCCCCCCCAGCCGCTGTGGCGCTCCGCTTTCCCGACTGAGAGCGCCAGAAGTCCCATTCCCCCTTCCCCATCATCCTCCCCTTTCTCCCTTCTCCGCCCTCCGCCCTCCAGCCGTTCCCAGGCAATCGCACAGGTGTTTGGCACACCAGCCCGCGCAAGCACTCATTCTGCGAGCGCTTGCGCCACCACACCCAAACGTACAATAACGCATTGCATCGTACTCGACTGCTTCTGTGATTAGCATTTCTGCTGACCCACCTCTTCCACCCATTTCTTGCCATTGTTCTTCTGGCCACCCATTTGCCAGCCGCTCAGCGTGAGTGGGGAGGAGTTGCCTTGCCGTACCTTATGCACGCCCCTCCGGTCAGGTCGGGAAGCTACTCGCTGCAGCATGGTCTGGCTAGCTTAGACCAGGGTCCCGCCGAATCGTCCCATTCGTGCTGTGCTGCGTCGTTAATCGGCTCTCGTCCCGACACGTGTCTGATAGGCAGTGCCGGATTGGCCGTGTCCGACTGGTCCCTGTGACAGCTGTCCGGCTTACATCGGCTATTGTCCGAACTGGGAGGTCCGGATCGGCTGAGTTACCCGGTGTTTTGTCTTCGCAAAAATATATTTCGGAGACTTCGCGAGGAAACCCTCGCGTCTTTGTCAATCCGCTTCTGCGTGACTTCCTCCGAGTCGTCGATTCAGCCAATCGGCATCAGCCAGTCATGGCTTCGCTGGTAGGTGCTTCGCTGGTAGGATTCATTTAGCCGTTTGACGTTGACAGAGGAGTGTGGAGTGCGCGTCGTTTCACGGTTAATTGACCGGAGATGCTCCACAGCATTCGTCCTCTGTCGCTCGGTCAAACGAAAGATTCCACCCACAGCTTCACCTTTCCGCTACTCGTCCCCTGTTTCACGGTCAGATGTTCCGCTGACCGTAGTGCCTCGTCGTGACCGTGGATTCCCCTGATCTGTTCGATCGCGTAGAGCGACAGTCGGAAGCCTCACCCCACCTGAACGCATATCCAGACTCCTGGAACTCGGCCCTGGTCATGCATGCCGTGTTACCCAGCCGAACACCCTTGATTTTGCAGGGTGTTTTTTTAGAATTCTCAAAAGCACTCTAAAGGCATATCCAGACTCCTGGGACTCAGTCCTGGTCGTGCATGCCGTGTTACCCAGCCGAACACCCCACGGTTTCACCTAGTTTTGAGGCGCCTCAAAACTAGACACCTCTCCGCCGCTCGTTCAGACCATGCAGCCAAGCCGACTACAACTGCTTCAAGAGCCTCAGAATCCCAAACAACCCCCCCCCTCCCCCCCCCCCCCCCTTTTCCCTCCCAGCTTCCCCCTTTCCTCCCCCGCTTCCCCCTTCCCCCCCCAACTCCCCCTCCCCCCGCTCTCCCCAACCCCGATGCACCCCTCTCTGCCGCATGCAGGCCCTGACATCCGCGCCGGCACCGGCGTCCGAAGCCGCTTTGTCCTGCGCTGCAGCCATGGAGACGTCAACTGTTTGATGAGCCTCACTCAGAAGCCCACACACACATCCCCTCCCTGTTCATTCAGGCCCTGGCATCCGCGCCGGCACCGGCGTCCGAAGCGGCTATGATGGACTGTGCTGCAGCCATGCAGACTTCCACTGAGGCACTCTCTTATCGGATCGGCGGCATGCTGGGCATCCTCGTTAGTAGCATGTGAGTCCGTCTCTTCTCCTGGTCCTCCGCCTTGCGGAGGCTACTTAAAGCCAGGGTCTCGAGTACCGAGATCTGGCAGCAACTGCGAAACAGTTGCTGTGTGGTTACCCCGTTTTGAGTGCGCGAAATCGCAATTTGCCCGCTGTGCGACACAACCCCTTTTGCCCCAAGACCATTTGCAAAACAACTTCTAGGTACTCGAGACTTTTGAGTTTCCACGGGGGTTTGCGGCCATTGTAGGCTTGGTAACCGAACCAAGCCCGTGCCTAGCTGGTTCGGTTTTGTAAAACGAAACCCAATCGAACTCGCCACCCGTCGTCAAAACTCCAACCAAACTTTGCACGTCGTCAGCCAATCCCAACCAACCCCTGACTCCAACTGCAAAACAGTTGCGGTACTTGAGACCCTGGCTTTAAAGGTAGGCCACTCGCACACGTTTATGCACAACAAACTATGCGCGGTATGCAACATTTTCCTTCAAACTCTGACACATTCTGACATATCTCCTTGGAAGATCACAATCGTGGCGTATCATGCTACCGCCCGCGTCCAAACATCTGCACCCATCTGCACCGCATCGCCGCTTCTCTCCCCGAACTAACAGCTCATTTCCCTGCTCAAGCAGACGCCAGCTAACCGCCATAAACCCCTCAATACTCCCCCCTCCTTCCCCCCCCCCCCCCCCCCAGCCATTCCCTTCCCGCCAGCATCGTTGTCTCAGTGGCATGCCTCCTACAGGGGACGCCACAACCACAACACCGTGCACTTCTTCGTCTTCTCCCCTCAACCCCCACCCACCCCATCACCTCAGTTCTCTCGCCCCCCTCTCCCCCCCCCCCCCGCTCCCCCCCAGAATCGGCTTCTCCCTGCCGTTTCTCCTGCGCGGGCGCCACAAGACGGTGCTCTTCTTCTTCCGTGCCTCGGCTGCTGGAATCGTGCTGGCGGTCGCCATCGTGCACATCTTCCCAGGTACGCCTCCTCGTGCACTTGAACAGGTGACTCCTGTGGTCCCGTGTGTGGGTATGTGCGGCTGGCATCGTGCTGGCGGTCGCCATCGCGCACATCGTCCCTGGTACGCACGCAGTTGGAGCAAGGAGCACAAAATCATAAGGCCTTCTCCTCCGTGCCTCGGCTGCTGGCATCGTGCTGGCTGGCGGCCGCTATCGTGCACGTCTTCCCTGGTATGCATACTGCATACACCTGAGAATGAGCAGATATAGATAGTCTGGTCCTAGTTTTGAGGCGCCTCAAAACTATCTTCCCTGGTGTGCATATTGCATACACCTGAGAACGAGCAGATATAGATAGTCTGGTCCTCTGTGCTGCTGCGCGTGTATCCTGCTGCTGGAAGTTTGAACCCACTTGTTCCCCCTGGCCTGGCCTACTGGGGCGTTATGCGTATCTGCCCTGGCTCTCTCTAACTCGTGTCTCAACTTCTCGACCTCCCCCGGGCGCCCGTCTCCATCCTCTCCCCTTCCATTCCCTCTCCCCCCCCCCCCCCCCACCCAGGAGAACAGGAGGCGCTCTCCAACCCGTGCCTCAACTTCTCGACGTCGTTCCCCTGGGCGCCTGTCTCCATCCTCTCCCCTTCCATTCCTCCTCCTCCCCCCCCCAACCCCGCCCCCACCCCCCTCCTATGTTGGAATATACGCTCTGTAGGCTTTGCGTATTGCGTATATACACTTGCGAATATACGCAATACGCTGATACGCTTGGAATACGCGATACGCTAAACCCGGGCTGCCCGGCGAAAAAAAATTGACATAATTATTTTTTCCCGCGAATTCGCGACGTCGCGATATCTTTTCGCCCATGCTATTTCGCCCATACCCCAGCATGCTCTGGACGTGTGTGAAAGCCATCCCGTCCGTCCAGATTTCAGATCTGAAGCAAAACGGTGGTGTGCTTAGCACGGTGGCGGAGATTGCTCTAGTTATGGTTCTTAGCTGTTAGGTCTTCGAGCAAAACGGGAGGTGATGTGGGGAGAGTGGAGCATTTGTGAGGAAAGGTTGGAGTTTGTAGATGGGGGGGAGTTCAGTGCGGTGTCGTTCCCCTGGGCGCCCGTCTTCATCCTCTCCCCTTCCATTCCCCCCACCCCCACCCACCCCTCCCCAACCCCACTCACCCCCCCACCCAGGCGCACAGGAGGCCCTCTCCAACCCGTGCCTCAACTTCTCGACGTCGTTCCCCTGGGCGCCCGTCTTCATCCTCTTCTCCGCGCTCTGCTCCTTCCTCGTCGAGTGCTACCTTAAGAAGATGCTGCTGCTCTCCTGGCGCCGCAAGCACGCTGCCGCTGCTGCTGGTAATGTAACGGGTGCGGTTACCACTGGTATCACGCTGGGCAGCAGTGGCAGCAGCTCTGTGAGTAGGAGCAGGAAGAGGAGGCAGGGCAGCGGGGGGGTGGTGGTGGGTGACGGCCGAGTGGTGAGGCTGGCTGCTGCGTTGCTGGCAGGCGTGAGAAGGAAGGTGGGAGGAAACAGCAGCAGTGGTGGCGTTGCCAAAGGCGGTAGCCGTGACAGTAACAGGAGGGATGGTGGCCTGAGGGCTGATGGGACGCAGGGAGGGCAGCAGCAGTCCCATTGTGCCAAGGGTCCTGACACTGACAACGCATGCCATGCTGCACCGTGCTGTGATGCAGCATGCAGCGTTGTTGCTTCTTGCCATGACAACGCATGCCATGACACCACATGCCAGGATGCCCCATGCCATGAAGTGGTGTGCCATGATGCGGTCTGCAGTGAAGCAGCATGCCATGACGTGTCATGCCACGATTGCCCGGAATCCACCTGCCACAGTGTTGCGTGCCACGAGATCACATGCCATGATGCCACCTGTCACGATACCACCTGTCATGATACCACCTGTCACGATACCACCTGTCACGATAGCACCTGTTCAGATACCGCCTGTCATGGTGTCACCTGTCTGGAGGCCACCTGCACCTCTGCCGCCTGTGGCGAATCCCAGTGCATCGGCTCTAAGTGCACTGACGCCACGTGCACGGACACCAAGTGCATTGACGCCAAGTGCTTAGCTAAGTGCTGCGAGTCCAAGTGCCCGGCCTGCCCCGACTGCGCTCTGGATGTGAGAGGAGCAGAGGAGGATACGTTCCCAGTGAAGGAGGAGAAAGAGGGGAGGGAGGATAGCGAGAAGGAAATCAGCAAGGCGGTAGCACTGTCGGCGCTGCGTGCAGTGGCGTACACCCTGGAGGCGGGCATCATATTCCACTCTATCTTCATCGGGATCGCTCTCGGGGCGAACCAGGACAGTGCGGAGATCAAGGGGCTCGCCATTGCTCTCGTCTTCCATCAGGTATGCATGTAGCTCGTCCCTCCAACCTTTTTGTTGTCAATGCGCTGCATGCTCTCCATGCCTCACTCCCCCCCTCCCCACTCCCCCAGCTCACCTCTGGTCTCTCTCAGTAGTCCCTCTCAGGAGGCGTAATATTCGACCACTCTCCCTGGTCTGTCCACTGTCCCACCTTGTCCTCTCTCCTCAGGGTTTCGAGGGCATAAGTCTTGGCACTGCCGTGGCCCCTTGCCGCTTCTCCACTCTCAAGACCCTATTCATGGGGCTGCTATTTGCCTTCACAACGCCCCTGGGCGTTGCCATAGGGCTCGCAGTGCATTCCTCCTACAACTCCAACGGCCAAGCGGCTCTTGCCACCGAGGGCGCGTTCAATGCAGTGTCGGCCGGCATTCTCATTTACAACGGGCTCGTCGACTTGTTAGTGCCGACGTTCGACGAGAAGGACGAGAACACCCTGAAGGATCCGATAGCGTACTTCTTTGGGTTTGTGTTTTTGTTCCTGGGCGCTGGAGCGATGAGCCTGCTAGCCGTTTGGGCCTAGAAATTGATGGAGTTTATTTCTATCTGAGGACTTACTGAAGGCCTTTCTGTTTAGGATTTTCTACTTGGTTTACGTTTAATCACAACAGTACAGCACCTTTCGCTGACTATCGCGGATGAATCTCGAAAGCAAACCACTTCCCTCCCTACGCTCTGTGGAAGATCTTCCATGCGGCAACCCCAAGGCTGGCTCCTAAATTCTCCTAGAAACTCCTCTCGAGCAATTACGCACCACCACGCCGCGGTTCCTTGCTCATTGGCTAGAGGCTGACTCTCGCTTTGGGATCTACATCAAAACCAGCGGGCGTTATTTCAGTTGAATTGATCTGCTTAGATTCGTATAGCCTGTCGCTGATCGAGTTTTAAAACCTCGAGAGTATCCAGCGAAGCGAGAAATGGGAAGCGGCGCGGGTCGAGGGAGGAAAGGCGGCCCGACGGGTCGTCGGCATTTTTCGACGATTGAGGAAATGAGTACGCACGGGGGAGAGGACGAGGAGGAAAGGGAGGCAAGGTGGATGGAAGAGAGGCTAGGGAGAGAGAATGGGGATTGGAGGGAAGCGGAGAGGGTGTGTCAGTTGTACACGTGGATTGCCGTGATTCGTCCGTGAAGCTGTCTCCTGTACCGGGTCGCAGTCATTCTTATTCTTACTTCCGTTGTCGGTTCCGATTCTTTTTCCACCCTTTTCTCCGAACCCTCTTCCCCCAAACCCTTATCGAATAGCCATCTCCGTGTTCCTCTATTGAAAGTTTCCTTTGACTCGACGCAATACCTTGACTCGACACAAAAGCTTGAGTCGACTCAAAAGCAGACTCATTACACGCGGTTTTTTTAGTCGACTCAACGGCGGTCCCTCCAAACCCTTCTCGAATAGCCATCTCCGTGTTCCTCTATTGAATGGTGCCTCGACTGTTGAAAAAAAGCCTCCGTGTCTCGCGAGGAGAGATTCCTCTAATAGGTTCTCTGAAGCTTCTTCTTCCTCACTCGAACTCTCGAACTCTCCCTCGCACTCTCCCTCGCTCTCTCCCTCCCTCTCTCCACCCTCTCCCATCGCCCTTCCTTCTCCTTCTTCCGTCCCCGAACCCTCTCTTCGGAGCCTTCAGAGTCAGGCACAGCGGAAGCCTTCGTCCGAACCCAAGTGGAAACAGCGGCGGGTAGTGGCCAACTGTATCCTGAGTCGAGTCACAGCACTCGCCTTCCGTGCTCTCCCCTCTCCCTTCTTCCCCCACGACCCCTCTGACCGTGTTTTCAGAGTCCGGCACGTCGTCCGAGCCCAAGTGGAAACAGCGGCGGGTGAGTGCTAAGTTCAGATTTTTGCGTACCGGCTTCTTGTTGTTGAGGGAATTCTGAAAATTTTATTCTTTCTTTCTCGCATCCTTCTCGAGAAGGAGCCTTTGACCCACCTGAGGATCCCTGAAGATCGTTTCAAGCTACCGCGTTCTAGCTGGCGTAAAATTGAGCTTACTTCTTTAGGCGGCCTGGCCTTAGCCTCTCTCCCTCCCTCCGACGCGTGCCGTAGACAGTAACCCGATGCCTTTCTTCCCCAAACGATGCCTTTTCTTTTAACGTTTTACGTCTGTTCTACGTCAAACTGTCTGCTCTACGTCTCGCATGCTCTATGTCTTTGCAGCCGTGTGCTTGATGTCACTTTTTGGTAGGCTCAAAGATCGTGTCTAACCCTATGGGGTGACTTTTGAGTCGACTCAAAAGTCACCTCGTTACAATGTCACACAACACCTTTTTGGTAAGCTCAAAGATCGTGTCTAACTCTACACCATGCTGTTTTATGTTGGCAGAATCGGGGCAAGGAGGAAGACCCGGAGCAGGAAGGGGGAGAAGAATCCCTTATTTTTCCAGCATTGAAACGCTCAACTCAAATGTCATGGTTTGCTGTCTGCCCGTGCCCTTTTTTTTGGCAGAATCGGGACCAGGAGGATGACCCGGAGGAGGAAGGGGAGGAGGGGAGCAGTGAGGAGGAGTCGGAAGAGGAGGAAGAGGAGGTGAGAGAGGGGGGGGTGAGAGAGGGGAGGTAGATAAGGGCAGAACGGGGAGGAGGAGGGCAGAGAGAGGGGGGAGGGGAAGAGGGGGGGTGGGTGGGGTGGGTAGAAAAGAGGGGAGAGGGAAGGCGAGAGACGCTTTCTTTTGTCTGTTTTTCTTCTGGCAGGCAGGCAGGCAGGCAGGCAGGCAGGGGCTTATCACGTATTTCCTTCCGTTCGCTCCTGAGACTATGATTGAGGCGCCTCAGAAACGGTCTCAGTTCGCACGGATTATACATGGGGAATAGGACTCTATACATGGCAGGGCCGGGGCTTGTCATGTATTTCCGTCCGTTCGTCCCTGCCTGCCAGAAGCACACCTCCACCCGCCACTTTGAGTCGACTCAAAAGTCGTCCTTGCCTGTCAGAAGTACACCTCCAGCTGGCAGGAGCACAAGGGTGTGGCAGGGCTCATAACCGTGGAGTCATAACCGTGGAGTAGGGGTGGTTTTATATCTCAGATATCATCTTCCCTCTCCCCTCTCCCCCCCCCACACACACCCCTCCACCTCTCCCCCCAGCAGGAGCACAAGGGCTTGGTAGGGCTCATGTCTCAGATAACTTCCACCCTCCCTCCCCCCCCCCTTTCAGAAGCACAAGGGCGTGGCGGGCTTGATAGCTGTGGAAAATCCCAACGCTCCCAGGAAGGCAGCAGTCAAGGTGTCTCAGGCGGATGTGAGTATAGCAAGCTGGGGTGGTTGTGAGTACAGCGAGATGGGGTGGCTGTTGTGAGCATTATAAAATGGTTTGGGAGTCATGCAGCTTGCTGAGACGGGGTTCACCGCAGCATGTGCGAAATTTCTCCTCATTAGAGCGTTCTGTTTTGCTGCCTCTCTCTCTCTCTCTCTCTCTCTCTCTCTGCCCTACCTTGCCTTCATTGCCCTCCTTGCACCCCTTCCGTTGCTCATTAGGGGGCGCCCTTCATTGCGCTCCCTCATTCCTTCCGTTCTTCACCGCACCCTCCTCCTGTCTGCACCATGTCCTCCCTCCCCTCTTTCCTTCTATTCCTCCCCCTGCTTCCCTCTCCCGTGCGCCTGTATCCCACAGAGTAGTACCACGTTTTCTTAGGCCCCTCGAAGATAGACTCGTTCTCCCCTCGCTCCCTCTCAACCGCTCCCTGCTCCCTGCTCCCCGCTCCCATGCGCCTGTACCCCGCAGACCAGTGCGCCCACCACTCAGCTCTCTCGCCGTGAAAGGTGAGGCCCCTTGATGAAATGTGCAATGAGTCGATGTCTTAGTCGACTCAAAAATCGACTCATTCCATGCAGGTGCAACGACACTGGAGTGCTTCACATGTTGGGTTTGAGAATTGACGCGTTCCATAGGCTGGGGTGGACGAGTGTTGTTGCATTGATGACAGTATTTTATAGGCGCCTACCTTTGACTCGACTCGAAATCATGATACTCGTTTACAGGCGTGAGGAGTCTATTTTTGAGGCACCTCAAAAATAGACTTTTGGGTCGACTCAAGATCAGGGCACTCTCTTACAGGCACCTAAAAATCGGGTCCGATGGGCTGGGGGGGGTGAGTTTTGCATGCATAGCAGCGGCGCGGCAGCTTGCACAAGTTCCGGGGCAGTTTAGAAGTTGCACAAGTTGCGGCAGGTGCTTTCCTGTAGCTCCCACTGTTGCTTGTCACTGCGCATGTGTTGTCTGCATGCCATGGTGAGTCTATTTTTGAGGCGCCTCAAAAATAGACTCCCACTGTTGCTTGTCACTGCGCATGTGTTGACTGCATGGCATGGTTATGTGCGTGCTTTGTTCGGCGTGCTCGAGTGCATGTATGTGTGTGCTGTGCACGCGTGTGCGGCTGACCTGGCAGGGAGGAGATAGAGAAGGAGTGGTCCAAGGAGAGATTCATGAATCTGTGTCTGTCTCTGGCTCTGTCTCTGTGCGTGCGCACATGTGTGTCCGTGTGTGTGCATGTGCGTGTGCACCTCTGTGTGGCTGACCTGGCAGGGAGGAGATAGAGAAGGAGCGGTCCAAGGAGCGATACATGAAGCTGCAGGAGCAGGGCAAAACAGAGCAGTCCAAGAAGGATCTTGGTACGCTGAAACTCGTCAAAGAACAACCCTCCCCCCCTCCCCCTCCCCTTCCCCACTCGCCCCCCTTTCCCTCCCCCCCCCTTCCTTCTTCCTTCCTCCTTCCTCCTTCCTCCTTCCTCCTTCCTCCTCTCACTGAACGCTGCTCACCTTTGAGCACGCATGTTCTACTCTTCCTGGTTAGCCCCGCTCTCACCCCACCTGCCCCCTGGCCGTTTGTTTCTGGAGCAGAGCGCTTGGCTCTTATTCGCCAGCAACGAGAGGAGGCAGCTAAGAAGAAAGAAGAAGAGCGCTTGGGTACGTTCTCAGCTTCCATGGCTGTAATGTAGCGTGTCCTTTAATTTAGATTATATGGTTACCCTGTTACGTGGAAGTTTTTGTCTTGACTTCGCCTGCCTATGTCGTTTCTGTTGCACTTGCTGTGTCCCTGTACAGCTCCCTCGCTCTTAGCAGCTCGCTTGTTTCAGCTCACCTGGCTTTTTTTCCTTCTCTATCCCCCTTGTTGCACTTGCAGCAAAAGAGGCTAAGAAACTAGAAGCCCGCAAAAGATGACAAATTACAACCAGCTCGTTAGCATGAAGTTAGGATCTACTTGCCAACATCTTCCTTCATAATACTTACAATATAGATGTACCGTATGACAGGATCACATACACTGGTCCTCCAAACTTTTGGCGACTCAATATTAGATTTTTCCACACCTGTTCCCGCCAAAACCCTCGGAAACCCCGACATTCCCTAGGTACCTAGGGAAGTGCGTACTGTCCAATTGTTCCATTCTCGAGTCGGGGCTGCGAGGACCTGTGCATATAGGCGTCCGTGTCCGTAGCAGATATTTGGTCAGCGATTCGAATGGCGACATCAGCAATCTACCCTCGCTTCGCGACACTCGCGAATGACGGAACTCCCCGCTTTTGCGGCTCTCCCGCGATCCCGCCATCGCACGGTTCGAGTGTTTTCGTTCGAGATGCCTGCCACGTCATTGGCCGCCGCCAGTTCCGCCGATCCTGCCAACGTGGCATTCTACGACCGCAGAAATGGCAACCTAGCCGGATTGTTGCAAGAGCCAAGTCAGCAGAATCAGGGAGCGAAAATGCCGGCGACGGGGGCAACGAGCCTATTAAAGTGGAGGTTTCGCCGAACCTGTCCATCGCGCTCGGTGATGAGGTTCGGCGGTTGGCAGCAGGTGCGGAAGGAGGTTCGGAGGAAGCAGGTGCGGAGAGTGGTCTGAGTCTGATCGAGCGGAATGAGCGGAGAAGGCAAGCCAGACGAGCCGCCGCTGCTGCTGCTGCTGCTTCTGATGATGCTTCTATTCCTACCTCTGCTGATGCTTCTGCAGCAGCCGCGCCTGTAGATTCGCCGTCAAGAGGTGGAGTGGCAGCAGCAGCAGCAGCAGCAGCAGCACCAGCAGCAGCAACCCCACTAACAGCGTCGGCACCAGCAGCAGCTTTCGATGAAACGCGGGCTGTCATTGCTGACGAGGCGGCGTACGTGTCCATGGTGAAACGCGCCGCTGCTGCCACGTCAGCATGGCGACAGGCGGTGCCGTTCCCTCTTAGCGATTTTTTCTTTGGCCCCGACGGGGTTGGCGTTAAGGGAGGCAAGGCGGAGGAAGAGAGGCTGATCCACGACATCTACTTCAAGGTGAGGGAGTGAGCCCGACTTCTCCGCTGGTTACCATCGGATGGAGTCTATTTTTGAGGCGCCTCAAAAATAGACTCCTCACGCATGGGTTGGCGTTAAAGGAGGCAAGGCGGAGGAAGAGAGGCTGATCCACGACATCTACTTCAAGGTGAGGGAGTGGGCCCGACTTCTCCGCTGGTTACCATCGGATGGAGTCTATTTTTGAGGCGCCTCAAAAATAGACTCCTCACGCATGGGTTGGCGTTAAAGGAGGCAAGGCGGAGGAAGAGAGGCTGACCCATGACATCTACTTCAAGGTGAGGGAGTGGGCCCGACTTCTCTGCTGGTTACGATCGGATGGGCGTGACGTGAATGCGGTGACTTATGAGTCGACTCAAAAGTCACATCAAGGTGAGGTGAGTGGGCCTGACGTCTCCGCTGGACCCCATGGGATGGGCGTGAAGGCGGGGGAAGAACGGCTGATCCATGGCGTCTACTTCACGGTAAGAAGCGCGCTGCTGTGGGATCTTCTCCTAAAGGCTTCTTCTGTGGTCCCAACGGGGGTAGGTGGCGTTAAGGGGGGGAAGGTGGAGGACGAGCGGCTGATCGACGATATCAACGTCAGGGCGAGAACTGCTGCATCGGGTCTACTTTGCCGGTGCAGCAAGAACGGCTGATGTTTTCTGTTACCCTGGCGCGGTTGGCGTTAAGGGGGGGAATGTGGAGGACGAGCGGCTGATCGACGATTTGTACGTCAGGGTGGGGGAGTGCAAACGAACAGAAGGAACGGCAAGGTTATTGTGCATCGTGGGCCCGACATGACATTGTCATCCAGGACACCCACGCCGCCTGGAGCGGACAGGATGGGATGGGACGGGACGGGATGGGATGGGATGGGATGGGATGGGATGGGATGGGATGGGATGGGATGGGATGGGATGGGATGGGATGGGATGAGATGGGACGGGATGGGACGGGACGGGATGGGATGGGATGGGACGGGATGGGACGATATTTTAGGGGCCTCAGATATCGTCTCTTGGGCCTGACTTTTCCGTTGGTAGACCCATGGGATGGGGGTGAAGGGAAGGCGGAGGAAGAATATCGCCTTCACGGTGATGGGATGAGAGAACGTGCACTGCGTTCAAGGTGATGGGGCGAGAGTTGAGGAGTGTGCTTGACATGCTTGTACCACGTATTTACTCTTACTCATTTGCAAAACCTCGAGGTAGGGATGCCTTATTTTATATTTATATATTTCAAAACACCCCCCCTGAATGCATCAATGCAGGCGGAAAATGGGCGGCCACTGGAGCAGGTTGACACCCAAGCTATCAGGGACAAGGTAAGTCACTGGTATTACATGCCCTCTATATTATGGGCTTCATTTCAGAATCAAGGTGAAAGAATCTTGTACCACCTCGAGGTTCCTAATGCGCATCCAGATGGTTTTCTTCTAAAATTCGTGAATCTCTTCTGTCGTTCTTATTCCCACTGCTTCCCTCCCCCACTTCCCCCCCTCTTCTCACTGCTTCGCCCCACCCTCCCCCCTTGTCCCAACCCCCGATCCCCCCCGCTTCCCACTGTTCTGTTTCTTCCCCTGCTTGCCCCCCCAGGTGCTGACGTCATCAGGCTTTGAGGTTGAGTCAGCAGTGAATCCACGACAGTGCCAGCAAGGCGTGGTCTTCTACGGCCGCCTCTCTGCTCCCGCCCCCGATGTCTACACCACCATTCAAGTAAGGTTCTGTCATGGCATATGTATGCCGCATGTCCAGATACACTATTTCTATCCTGCTGACAAGCTTGCTTGTCAGGTCAACTGTGCAGCAGCCTGCATTCATTGTCTCAACCACTTCTCATCTCACTCCACTCCCTTGTCCCTTTGATTCCCTGCTCTCCCTTCCCCCTCCCTACCTCCTGCCTCCTCCCCAGGGCTTGCTAAAATGCCTCGTTCCCCGGCCTCTCCACACTGCTGGCTAGAGCCGACTGGTAATTTACGGGCGTTGTCCCAGGCGGCGCACACTGGAATAGCTCTCCATCATTGCCTCAACGGTTTTTCCTGCTCTCGCTTCCCCCACTGTACCTCCCCCCAGGCTCGCTTGGATGCCTCCTTCCCCGGCCTGTGCGCAGTGCTTGCTAGAGACGACATCATCCGGCCAGCAATCAGCGTCCTTATTGCCCCGCGGCAACACCTCCTCTCCTTCTCCCTCCCTCGACCCGTCTTTGCACTCATCTCCTCTCTCACTCTCTCGCTCTCCCTCCTCATCCTCTTCTCCTCTCTCTCTGTGGACCCCGCTCTCTCCCCCACTACTTCTCCTCTCCTCACTGCTGCGACTGTGCCACTTGGCGTGCTCTTAGTGGCCGCTGCTGGTGCTGGAGGGAGGGCTATAGCCGCACAGCAGCATGGGGTGTTGCCAGCCCTAGATACACCCCTCCCTCTGCCCTCTCCCTCCTTCGGGCTGTTCGGGATTTTATCCCCTTACAAAGGGTTACTTCCAAACCGTACCGTTCTCCTCGATCTATCCCTAAGCAGCGCTGTCGCTTCCTTCGCTGCATCTGCTGCTCTTATCCTTCTAGGCCTCCTTCAATCCGATACACTCACACCTGATGTAGTCACCATTCCGGCTTCCACCTTCGCCCACTCCCACGTCCTCTCCTCTCTCGCCTCAGACTGTGCAGCTGCTGTACTCGTTACTAGCCCTGATTCTTTACAGTCTACAGTTTCTACAGGAGCTTCCACTGTAGAACTCGCAGTAAATCCTCTGATTCTAGCCGGATTGCTCGGGGTCAACCTCTCTTCTCTCTCCTTGCTACCAGTGGGCATTCTAGATGGTGGTCGCATCATCACAGCGCTTTTTGGAAGGAAGCAGCAGCATGCAGTATCAATGGGTCTGCTAGCAGCAGTGGCCGTTTCTATTGTTTTGAGACCTGATGGCCGGGAGAATGCAGCGATCTGGTTGGTGCTGGCGGCGGTTCTGCTGAAGCGAGATGATTGGTTTCAACGAGAGGAGGTTTCTGAGCCGTCGAGCAGAAGGAAGCTGGTTGCAGCTGCGTTAGTGGCTGCTTCGATATGTATATTGTGGCCTTGATGCACTCTGGCACGATATGGGTGAGGTGAGGTTCCTACAATTCTTCATCAATTGTTGTTTATATACACTGATAGAATATGATTAGAGTTATTCACAAGAGAATCAATTTCCATGTCAATGGTGTTCTTCATAAGTCGAAGCCTACATACATACGGTACCTTGTACGGAAAAATATTATTATGATTCTCAACGTTTGAGGTGTAGCCACATGCCCTGTGCGTACTAAGGTGTCAAACATGTTTAGTTATCATGCTTGTATAGACTGTATAGGGTCATCTTCTAGAGAGTACAACAGTTAGATATATGTTTGTGTACTCTCATCTTCCATTCATCAATTTCACTGTTTGATATGGTATCACGCGTAGGTAGGATCCCCCCCCCCCCCCCCACCCCCCCCCCCTCACGCTTCCGCTCGCCCCTCTAGCTGGGCCCCGTCGTGCTCCTAGCCCCGTCGCGACCCTCCCTAGCCCCGTCGCGACCCTCCCTAGGCCCCGTCGCGCCCCCTTCAGGGCTTCGTAGCGCCCCTCCAGGCCCCGTCGCGCCCCTTCCAGGGCCTGGTAGCGCCCCTCCAGGGCCCCGTCGCGCTCCTCCCAGGCCTCGTAGCGCCCCTCCTGGGCCCCATTGCGCTCCTCCCAGGCCCCGTCGCGCCCCTTCCAGGGCTTCGTAGCGCCCCTCCGGGCCCCGTCGCGCCCCTTCCAGGGCCTGGTAGCGCCCCTCCAGGGCCCCGTCGCGCTCCTCCCAGGCCCCGTCGCGCTCCTCCCAGGCCCCGTCGCGCCCCTTCCAGGGCTTCGTAGCGCCCCTCCAGGCCCCGTCGCGCCCCCTTCAGGGCTTCGTAGCGCCCCTCCAGGCCCCGTCGCGCCCCTTCCAGGGCCTGGTAGCGCCCCTCCAGGGCCCCGTCGCGCTCCTCCCAGGCCCCGTAGCGCCCCTCCTGGGCCCCATTGCGCTCCTTCCAGGCCCCGTCGCGCCCCTCCCTAGCCCAGTCGCGCTCTTCCCAGGCCCCGTAGAGCCCCTCCTGGGCCCCATTGCGCTCCCCCCCAGGCCCCGTCGCGCCCCTACCTGGGCTTGGTAACGCCCCTCCAGGCCCCGTCGCGCCCCTACCCATCCCCGTCGCCCCTGCTCGGCCCCGTCGCCCCTGCTCGGCCCCGTCGCCCCTGCTCGGCCAGGTCGCGGCCTATCGGCCGCGTGGCGCCCGCCCGGCCCCTGTCGCGGCTGCCCGGCCCCTGTCGCACCTGCCCGGCCCCTGCTCGCCCGCCCGGCCCCGTCGCCCCTGCCCGGCCCTGCTGTGGCCTGCCCGGGCCCCGTCCCTGCCGCCCGGCCCCGTCGCCGCCGCCCGGCCCCGTCGCAGCCGCCCGGCCCCGTCGCAGCCGCCCGGCCACGTCGCAGCCGCCCGGCCACGTCGCAGCCGCCCGGCCCCGTCGCCCCTGCCCGGCCCTGCTGTGTCCGGCCCGGCCTCGTCCCTGCCGCCCGGCCCCGTCGCAGCCGCCCGGCCCCGTCGCAGCCGCCCGGCCACGTCGCAGCCGCCCGGCCTTGTCGCTGCCGCCCGGCCCCGTCGCCGCCGCCCGGCCCCGTCGCCGCCGCCCGGCCTTGTCGTGCCTGCCCGGCCCCGACGCACCTGCCCCGGCCCTCCATACTTCCTGGTACTGTCCCCCGTTCCCCGCACCACTTTGCACCCTCCTGCACTTTCCTGCCCCGCCTTGCATCGCATTGCACCTCACTGGATCGCACTGACCGCACTGCACCGCACTGGACCGCACTGCACCGCACTGCATCGCACTGCATCGCACTGGACCGCACTGCACCGCACTCCATCGCACTGCACCGCACTGCACTGTCCTCCACTGCCCCTCATGGCTGCTGAGCTTCGTTTTGATGTTGAGGGTCAGCCTCTGGAGTTCGAGGCGTGGTTGGCTGACCTTCGCCGCCACCTCACTGGCCAGCGGCAGGACGGCCACCCGCTTTCTGCACACCTAGACGGTATGCTCCCCTGCCCTGACCCCCCTGCTGTGCTGCCCGCTGATCCCACGCGCGCTGAGCGCGAGTCCACTGCCGCTGCTGCCCTTGCCCGCTCTGTCTGGCTTTCCCGCGATGCCCTTGCTCAGCTCGCCATTAGCAATGCCCTCCCCCCCACTGAGCGCCCTCGCTTTAGAACCATTCCTACCGCCCAGGCCTACCTCGATGCTGTCATCAAGCGCTATTCTACCCCTCCTGCTGCCTCAGTGGGTCGCCTGATCCTTCCCCTGCTCTTTCCTGACCTGGCGTCTTTCCCCACTGTCTCTGACCTCGCTGCCCACCTGCGCTCGATAGATGAGGCCTGGCGAGCTGCCTGCACTGATGCTCAGCTTAGAGTCCACCAGCCTCCCATGACCTCTACCCTCTACCTCCTTGCCACCCGCCTACCTGACCGCCTTGCCGCTGCCCGCGACCAGTTCCTTAGCATCCACCCTGCTGCTCTCACCCTCACCGACTTTGTTGACACCCTGACTGCCATAGAGACTCGTCACCGCTCCATAGCCCTGGCGAGCGGTACAGTACCGGTCCCTATCTTTCAGGGTTGTGCCCCCGCTCAGTGTACCTTCTCCGACGGCTCTGTCGCTGTGGCTGAGACTGCTGCTGCAGTGCAGTCCCGCTCGGCGAAGGGCCGCCGCCCCAAGGTTGGGAGCGGCGGAGGCGGCGGGGGTGCGGGTGGGGGTAGTGGTGGAGGCGGGTCGTCCGGTGCCGGTGCGGACGTGGGGACCCTGCCCGGTCCAGCTGCCCCGCTGCCTCCACAGTTGCAGCAGCCGCAGCAGCAGCAGTCGCCACAGCCGCAGCCTTCGCAGCAGCCGCAGCAGCCGCCGCAGACGAGGCAGGCGAGTACTCTCCCACCTGGGTGGCCTGGAGCTGGTGGTGGTCGTGCGCGTGGTGGTGCACCGGGCGGTGGTTCTGGAGGCGGGCCCTGTCAGTACCAGATCCAGACCGGTCCTCGCCGCGGCTTCGTTTGCGGTAAGATCGGTCATTCTACTCCTCGCTGTTTTCGTCGCCTGGACGACCTGTTCCGCCAGCGCTTTGGCCCGGCGCCCGACCTCCCGGACTGGCACAGCTTGCTTAGGCGTAGCATTAGGATTTTTGACTTGGACATGGATGCCATTGTAGCGGCCTTGCATGTGATGTATGCTGATGACTCTAGTGTGCTTCCCTCTTATTACCCCGTGTTGCCTAGTGTAGCGGTGCCTAGCGTAGACTCCCCTGCTGCGTCAGGCGTAGGATCTCCTGCTTTGCTTAGCCTTGGTGCTTCCACCGCTTCACTGCTGCCTCGCGCGACTGCTGCGCTTTCCTTCACCTTGGACTCTGGCGCCTCCCGGTGTTTCTTCCGCGACTCCACGACGCTGACGCCGCTGCCTGTTCCCGCTGCAGTTACTCTTGCTGACCCCTCCGGTGGTCCCGTCGTTGCCCGCAGTTCCACCTCCCTTCCCTGTCCGGCGGTTCCTTCGGGCACTCTCACAGGTCTGCATATCCCCTCGTTCTCCAGGAACCTAGTTGGTGTCGGCTGCCTCCGGGACCTTGGCGTCACCACTACGTTCCCTGGTCACGAGCGGTATGCTGTCTGTACCGAGGCCGCCACTGGTGCCCCCCTTACCACTTTCCCCCGGGACCCGGTGTCCGGCCTGTTCACACTTGACACCGCGCCGTCCCCGTCTGGGTCTTCCCCCCCGGTAGCTGCGTCCACCCAGGTTGCAGCCGCGTGCTCCTGTCGGTCCCTCACTCACCCGACTCTCCTTTGGCACCACCGCCTTGGTCACCCTGCACTCCCACGTCTGCGTCACATGTCCCAGCACGGTCTCGTCCTTGGTCTCCCCGGTTCGTTCCCCGAGTTTCCCTCCTCCCCCGCCCCACCGTGCACGCCTTGTGTCGAGGGCCGGCTCCGCCGTGCCCCTCACTCCTCCTCTTTTCCCCCTACCACCGCACCACTGCAGACTCTGCACATGGACGTCTGGGGCCCAGCCCCGGTCCATGGGCCGCGTCGCGAGCGCTTCTTCCTAGTGCTTGTCGACGACTTCACGCGCTACACCACCGTCTTCCCCCTGGAGCGGAAGGCCGACGTGCCTGACGTTCTCATCCCCTGGCTTGTCTCTGCTCGTGTCCACCGCGGTCTCCCTGCCTTGCGCCTTCACTCCGACCGGGGTGGCGAGTTTGCCTCAGGTGTCCTTGGTCGCTTCTGTCGTGCGGAGGGCATCACCCAGACGTTTACCCTGCCGGACTCCCCGCAGCAGAATGGGGTCGCTGAGCGACGCATCGGTTTGGTCATGGAGGTGGCTCGCACCTCCATGATCCACGCCGGTGCACCCCATTTTCTGTGGCCGTTCGCCGTGCGCTACGCCGCTCACCAGCTTAACCTGTGGCCGCACCCCCAGCGGCCGCAGGTTTCGCCGACCCTTCTGTGGACCGGGTCCCCTGGTGACGCGTCTGCGTTCCGCGTCTGGGGCTGCCTTGCTCACGTTCGTGCCTCTGGCACGGACAAGCTCACTGCCCGCACCCTCCCCTGCGTCTTCCTCGGTTTCCCCCTTGACGCGTCCGACTGGCACTTCTACCACCCGCCGTCTCACCGCTTCTTTCACTCTCGCGACGTCACCTTTGACGAGTCCGTCTCCTTCTACCGCCGCTTTCCCCACCGTGGTCCCCCGGTTACTCCCCCCCTTTTCCTGGTTCCTCCCTCCCTGGTGGTCCCTGCCCCTCCCCCCCCCCCGCCCCCCCGTCCGGCCCCCTCTGGTGTGTCTCACGTCACCCCCCTCCCGTCGGTCGTCCCGGTCGACGAGTCTTCTGACTCTGGTAGTCCCCCGGCGCAGTCCTCGCCGTCTGTCCCTCCCCCGGTGTCTCCTCCTCCACCGCCTCCGCAGCCGCCGTCGCCGCAGCTGCTGCAGCCGTCGTCTCCACCGCCGCAGCCGTTGCAGCCGTCGTCTCCGCCGCCGCCGCCGTCGCAGCCGTCGCTGCAGCCGCCGCCGCCGCCGCCGCTGTCGTCGCTGCCGCCGTTTGTGGACTCTGGGGGTGTCCCTTCTGGGGGTGCAGGTGTGGAGGGTTCGGGAGGTAGCCGTCGCGCAGCTTGTGGCCCTGGTGTTGGTGTTGTGTCGCCGCAGCAGCAGTCCCCGCCTGTGTCCGCCCTCCGTCTGCTCGGCCTTCCGTCTCCTGACCCTGCGCCTGTTCCTC